TTCCAATTAGCCCCTTGTGCTTAAGAACAGCTAGGCCTAAAACCAATCCTCTAAACCTCTCATCATTGCTAAACCACATTCTTGTGCTTCTTCCTTTCCCATGCTTTTGAGGCAACCACATTATATTACAAAGAAGCAGAATCTCTTATTTCAGCATGAGAACCCTCCCTCCCCCCCCCTCAATGTGTGGTCCTGCCCATTCCTGAGGATAGAGCAGGATCAAGCACTGCTGGATTATGATGGGAAATGCCACCTTTGTGTTTATAGTTGGCAACGCACCCACTCCAATAACTCGAGCATATGAAACGAGTTACAAGTAATAGCTGTTAGTGCTACTGCTAAAACCTCACCAATTTGATCTCCAGCCACTTGAAAGATCACATCAAGAGAGTGCAAGATTCTCAGACGTGTATTTAATTCACCATGAGAAATCAGCTCACTGTGGTGCCCTAAAACTCTTCAAACATACATTTCTGCCCTGCATAGTGCAGAGCTTTGCCCAGTCCTGGCTTACTCTTAGTCATTTTTGAGCCACTGAAGTCATATACAGTGGTACCCCGCAAGACGAACGCCTCGCGAGACGAAAAACTCGCAAAACGAAAGGTTTTTTCGTTTTCGAGTTGCCTCGCAAGACGAATTTCCCTATGGGCTTGCTTCGCAAAACGAAGCTTGCCCCGGGGACAGCGGGTCTTCTCTTTTGAAGCAAGGGGCGGCGGGGAGATCGCTTCTCCCGGTGCTCCGAAGTGGGGTGGGGGGGCGGGAACACCTGCCCCAGCCGCCGGGCTTCGTAGCGCTGCTGCGAAGCCGGGCGGGGGGCGGGAACACCTGCCCCAGCCGCCGGGCTTCGTAGCACTGCTGCAAAGCCGGGGGGGCGGGAACACCTGCCCCAGCCACCCCGCTTCGGAACGCTGCTGCGAAGCCGGGCGGGGGGCGGGAACACCTGCCCCAGCCACCCCGCTTCGGAACGCTGCTGCGAAGCGGGGTGGGGGGCGGGAACACCTGCCCCAGCCACCCCGCTTCGGAACGCTGCTGCGAAGCCGGGCGGGGGGCGGGAACACCTGCCCCAGCCACCCCGCTTCGGAACGCTGCTCCGAAGCGGGGTGGGGGGGCGGGAACACTTGCCCCAGCCGCCGGGCTTCGTAGCGCTGCTGCGAAGCCGGGCAGGGGGCGGGAACACCTGCCCCAGCCACCCCGCTTCGGAACGCTGCTCCGAAGCCGGGCAGGGGGCGGGAACACCTGCCCCAGCCACCCCGCTTCGGAACGCTGCTCCGAAGCGGGGTGGGGGGCGGGAACACCTGCCCCAGCCACCCCGCTTCGGAACGCTGCTGCGAAGCCGGGCGGGGGGCGGGAACACCTGCCCCAGCCACCCCGCTTCGGAACGCTGCTCCGAAGCGGGGGGGCGGGAACACTTGCCCCAGCCGCCGGGCTTCGTAGCGCTGCTGCGAAGCCGGGCGGGGGGCGGGAACACCTGCCCCAGCCACCCCGCTTCGGAATGCTGCTCCGAAGCGGGGTGGGGGGGCGGGAACACCTGCCCCAGCCGCCGGGCTTCGTAGCGCTGCTGCAAAGCCGGGCGGGGGGCGGGAACACCTGCCCCAGCCACCCCGCTTCGGAACGCTGCTCCGAAGCGGGGTGGGGGGGCGGGAACACCTGCCCCAGCCGCCGGGCTTCGTAGCGCTGCTGCAAAGCCGGGCGGGGGGCGGGAACACCTGCCCCAGCCACCCCGCTTCGGAACGCTGCTCCGAAGCGGGGTGGGGGGGCGGGAACACCTGCCCCAGCCGCCGGGCTTCGTAGCGCTGCTGCGAAGCCGGGCGGGGGGCGGGAACACCTGCCCCAGCCACCCCGCTTCGGAACGCTGCTGCGAAGCGGGGGGGGGGGCGGGAACACCTTGCCCCAGCCGCTGGGCTTCGTAGCGCTGCTGCGAAGCTGGGTGGGGGGCGGGAACACCTTCTGAAGGCGGGCGGGGGGCGAAAGTCTTTGTCCCCCCTGCCTGCCTTCCCAGGGGCTTTTAAATCGCCCCGGACAGCGGAGAAGTCCTCCGCTGTCCCGGGGCGATTTTAAAATGCCGCCCGCCAGCATTTTAAGATCGCCCGGACAGCGGAGAAGTCCTCCGCTGTCCCAGGGTTTTTTAAAATGCTGGGGGTGGGAAGAAAAGCCCTTGTCCCCCCCCCCAGCCTTCAGAAGAGGTCCGGGGACAGTCTGTCCCCGGACCTGGTCTGAAGGCGGTTTCCCTAGGAACGCATTAATTGATTTTCAATGCATTCCTATGGGAAACCGTGCATCGCAAGACGAAAAAACCGCAAGACGAAGAGACTTGCGGAACGAATTAATTTCGTCTTGCGAGGCACCACTGTACCCTTTAGAAGTCAGGCTACTTTTTCAGTGGCTGTTGCTCACATTTTCCAATTCCTTGTTAGTAAAACTAAAAGGAAGTTCCTGGGGATTTAAACCAGCTTTCCAGGGTGCCCGGTATCTTGCAGTTGTGGACCTGAACAATTCGGTGCTGTGTTGCTCTTTCCCCCTCAATCAGAAGCAGAAGACCAAGAATTTCCATACAAAGTCTGACACAACTGTGCCCGACTTCAAAGTGAACTCCTGCCCGTTGCAAAGATATTTGACTTTCCACATTGCATAGCAGAGCCGAGACCCAAAGTAAGCATGATAAATCCTGCAAAGACACTTTTATCTATTTGCAAATCCTTCCCACAATATTCAGATAGCACTGGTTGCTTGGTATGTGACTGTGTAAATTTTACCTAGGAAAGGTGAAGGTCTAAATCTAGGACAGCTATCCTTGAAGCTTGTCAAAAGTTCATCTCACTGCCCTGAAGTAGGCCACATATGAATTGCACATGAATTAGCCGCAGACCACGTCCAGCTTTTAATTTGATCAAACACAGGCTTCATGTGCTTTAGTGTCAATATTTGTGCTTTCTACTTCTGGGCATATCAGGGGCACAGCTTAACATTCCAGCAGGCAGAATCTACTTCTGATTATTCTTTATCACGCAGGTCTGCCAATTTGTTTCTCTTTCTTGACCAAAACAGATGTAGCTTTAAAGTAGCTGTGGAGGACTCAGATTTTAATCAGACCAGCAACAATGGGTGGAGGGGTGTTTAATTAACCCTATCATGCCCCAGCTACTATTTATCCTACAGGAGCAAAATCTATGGAGGAAGCAGGTAATCTATCTGTATTCCACCCCATCCCCCAAGTAAGGCTCATATCAGCTGAGGAGGGGGAAGGGATTTAGATTATAAAAATGGCACAGACAGAAAGGGTTATACAACTCCCCCTCAGATCTGCTGCTCTGTCCAAAAGTCTGCCCCCACAACAGCTGAGTAAAAGTTGTTTTTTTAAAAAAGTCAAAAGATCTCATCACATATCTCCACAGGTTGTCTTGATTCTCTCTCTGCTTTTTCATTTGTCTTAGGGCCAAAGCACAGTATATGAGAAGTTATACAATGCCTTTAGCCCTGGGGTACATGATTCCCCCCTCCCACAATAAGCAGCCATCATGGGAGGGGGGAAAGGTTAAAGTCCCCCCAGGGCCAGTCCTCATCTGGCCTAGGAAAGGGCAGAGCAGGAAGATCAGGGCTAAAGACATAAACGTTATCAGGTCTTCTTTAGCGCTTAAAAAAATATTCTCGGTGTCCCCCCCGAAGGGGGGGGGTTAGAAGTTTCTCCTTGTCAGTGAAGGAAAGGTGAATGTGCTGAAGCAACTAGAATATTTTAACTACAGATTAAATTGATTTGTAAAACATTCTCATAAGTCTCACTAGTGGTCTTCTTTGACAACTGGCACAGCTGGGGTGGCCCACCCCGTTTTGCTGCCTGAGGCAAAATGGGAAGGTGCCACCTCACTGCCTCCCATTTACCAAATCCTCGCTTACCGGGATCATGCAGTGGTGGCTTTCGGAGACATCTCATTGGAAGCCACCGCCGCTTCTCTCTGCTTCTCCTGTGGTGGTGGGGTGGGCGGGGCTCACACAGGGGCACTGCCCCATGGGATTCTGCCACCCAAGGTGGCTGCCTCAGTCCATCTCACGGATGGGCCATCCCTTAGAGGTAAAGGTAAAGGTACCCCTGCCCGTCAGGGCCAGTCGTGACCGACTCTAGGGTTGCGCGCTCATCTCGCTCAAGAGGCCGGGAGCCGGCGCTGTCCGAAGACACTTCCGGGTCACGTGGCCAGCGTGACGAAGCTGCTCTGGAGAGCCAGCACCAGCGCTGCACACGGAAACGCCGTTTACCTTCCCACTATAAAGCGGTCCCTATTTATCTACTTGCACTTAGGGGTGCTTTCGAACTGCTAGGTTGGCAGGAGCTGGGACCGAACGACGGGAGCTCACCCCGTCGCGGGGATTCGAACCACCGACCTTACGATCAGCAGGTCCTAGGCACTGAGGTTTTACCCACAGCGCCACCCGCGTCCCGTATATGGGGACCATATAGGGCCAAAAGACTGATACTGATGCAGCGGAAAGATAAGTGTACGGCTCCATTTAATCAGTGGACTGAAGATATGACTACACTTGCAATTTATGAACCGATTGCTTAGAGATGTAGACTTTGCATGGACACGTATAAAGAAATTTGGAACACTTTTACACAAAATATAGTAGGTTAAAAATAAGCATATATGCATCTGGATAGTAATAAAACCTGCACATCAGAGAAGTATAAACAGGATTGTAATTGTTAACTCGTATAATGATATAGTATACCTTTTATTTATTTCACTTTTTATTCTTGTTTTATGTTTGTTTGGTTAAACTGTTCTTTAAAAGACTTAATAAAATGGGTAGGCCAGTCCTGGGTTCAGCAAGAGCACCAAGAATAAGGTAACTAATAGTTGACCGAGCCATCTTCTGAAGCTCCTATCATGATACTGCATTTGTAATAGGCTGATCCAGGATTCATTGCAAGTTTAGATTCCAATGTTAACTGTTTATTTGGGGAAATGTGACCAATGAAAGGGGAAGGAAGCACAAAGCTTGCTTACCAGTTGAGTCTGCTGCAGATGCTCTGCCACTGGTCAGGTCTTCAGTGTTTATGGACTGCAGATCAGTGTAGGAAGGTGTGAAACTGGGGCTGCTGGTGTTCTCAGAAGTAGTTGTCCAACTGTTGTCTGACGTAAGAGGTCTTCTCTCAGAAGATCCCGAAGAGGGACACGTCCAGCAGAATGTTTTTGGAGAGAAGGCTTTTAAAAAGAAAGAAAGAAATTTGTGGAACTAGGCAGCATAAAAAGAGTTCTGGAAAGGTGAATCATGACAAAAGAGGGAATTGGATGGTGCAGAACATCTTATATCAAGTTTCCCTCAAGCGAGGAAATGCTGCCTGAGTATTCTGCCGGGTAGCTGGTTATTTGATGCTATCAATGCTCCTCATTTGCTATAAGCCTTCTAATATAAAACCAAACCACTTGCTACCATGTTGTAGACTGAGGAATGCTGTGTATGTCTGTCTACGCGTTTTGTGCTTCGAAAAAAGATTTCTGCAACCTCTGTTAATGTCAGAGCGTAAATGTCAAAGTCCAAGGCCTTGTGCTGTTTACTGTGCTGCAAGACTGTTTAGCAGTAGCTGCTTGGATACAAGTTCCGAAAGGGGAAAGAGATAATTGCTTTTAATATTTATAGACGGGCTCGGGATCAAGTAAATTTGATGGGTCTGAGGCTCTGATTGGTTGGAAGCTCTAGTCCGTGAAGAATGGGCAGTTTACCTGTCAGTCTGGAACGACAGTTGATGAGGAAGGTGTGAGGCGAAGAACAGAGAAAGTTGAAGCGAAAGTGGACAGCGAAATCCTGAATATTATGGTATATTTCCCCCCAGTGTGTTAACAATGCTTTGGTGGCTGTGATCAGAAGAAGGCAGTCAGTGGCTGAGTTAGGCGAATAGGCTGCACTGTGTAAAGGTTTTAACGGAAGAGGACACATGCAGGTTTTTTAAAACAGGGGAAATGTCCAAGAAGCCAGAAGTACAACCAGAGGAGCTTTGGGGTCAGAGGCAGATTGTACCCAGTAGTTAACTGGGTTTTGAGTGAGTTTGGCTGGGGAGGAATGTCAGGGAAATTGGTCTGATGCAAAAGCCTTTTAGAGGCAGGTCTCAGCAACAGCATCTCTTGCGTCCTTGGAAACCATCATCAAGCACGTGTGAATCTCAATATATCAGCTTTTCCTTATGTATACAATTATCCCTTTGATAAACAAACAGTCTTAGTTAACAGTTTGGTCCATCTCCAGTACTGGTGACAATCTCACACCTAATGCCAGGCTACCAGGAAGTTTTAAGAGTGTTTTAAGGGAATTGATGCCAGCAGAAAAGGCTCACATTGGAGAACTCCATGGGCCAGATTCAACTAACCTGGTAGGCTAGCAGAAGTCTTGGAAGAGGACTTCTGCTAGTGTAAAAGGCTCCCCCCCCCCCGAATTTCCCCCAAATCTGCTCTGGGGAGATCAGCCTGTGGGGAGAAGATGGGAGAGAACATTCCATCCAGCAAGCAAAAATATTTGCATTGACAGAATAGTAGTGCAGTGTTGAATATCACCCTAAGTTACAGTGGCTGGTTCTATATAAGCAGTGCAAATACCTAAATGTGTGTTTACAGAAAGCAGGAACTGAGGGATCCCATTTCCTATACATGTGTATACAAAAACCTATGAAAACCGCATACCTGCCTGCTCTGCAAAGAGACTATGAATACATGGGATGCGAGGAGAGCTGGGATCCTCATCTCCCCTCTGTACACACTATTTCAGAATGTCTGAACAGAGATATGTTTTCTTATAAGCCTCAAGCGCAAACAGCATCTATAATCTGAAATGTCCAAAATCACAGTTAGAAGAACGCACCTTCATAGTCTTTAGAAGCAAGCTCTACTCACACCATACATTTAAAGAACTATTATACCATTTTAACAGTCATGGAGAATCCTGGAAACTGTAGTTTGTTAAGGGTGCTGGGAATTATAGCTCTATGAGGTTAGCACCACGGTTCCCAGGATTCATTATTATTCTTAAAAGCAATGCTTTACATGTATGATGTGGATGAGATCTAGAATACCTTGCTTGAGAATTCTCTTTCCAAATTTGTTCCAGTTATATTACATAAACCCTCAATCTTCAGCTACCTGAGCTTAGAGCAAACTTTTCCTCCAGGAGCGAAGATAGTACAATTTGTTCCAATTTTAGCATGCCATCAAGCTCTCATCATGTTCAGTTATTGCTTTCCTTCTTCCTCAGCTGTACGATTCTCTTACTCAAGACTTGCCAGTTTCAGAGGGGATAGCACAATCGGCATTATGTGAAGTTTGTTCTGCTGTGAAAATGCCTCCCCAAGAATGTGAGATAAAGTCCTAGTTACTTGAGCCACTTAGAATCAGACAAAGTCCTTGAGAGGAGTGTGATCCAGATGTCACAATAGGCCTTTTCTAGCTCTACTTTTCATACCTCGCTACATTCCAGGGTGCAGCTTTGCCCAGCAGTTTATCTGATTGAATTGTGATGTCAGTATAAGAGAGAACTGAAACAGGGCCGAGTTCCTTGCTGCACTGGGAGCATAAGCAATCAGGGTACCATATGAGTTGTATGACTGACGTGGCTATTTCCCATGCCATTGGTGACCCTTCCCAGGACTAGTGTCACAATACATTTGCATAATTAAACATTTTTTGGAGGGGAAAAAAATTAAGTGTTATTTTTAAAATAACACTTTTAGCAAATTCTTTCAAAGAAACCAACAACAAAGCTTTAAAAAGTCAACAATTAGCATTTAAAAAAAGAATTGAAATCACAGAACAGGGGTTTTTAAATAAAAATAATAGCACAGTGGTGGAGCACAAGCTTCCCCAGCAGAAGGCACCTGGATCAAAGCCTGACATCTCCACCTAAAAAAGGATCAGGTAGCAGGTGTTGAACCCCTGCCAGTCAGAGAAGACAATAGTAAGTTAGATGGACAAATAATCTGACTCAGTATATTTCTTGTGTTGCTAACACAGGAACACATATTTCCTGTGTTCCTAAAATCATCAGTATCATATCATCCCTTAAAAACTCAGGATAATAATAATAATAATATATTTACCCAGTACTCTAAAGTTAGCAAAGTGTGCACCAGTCAAGTATCTCTGGAGGAGCAAAATTTCACTACTGAAAATGCCCTTTCTCCAGTTGCCAACATCTCAACTTTGAAGGGAGTAACAACACAGTCTCTGAAACAGCTAAAGAGTAGGTAGGTTTATATGGAGTAGCAGATAGTCTTTTAGACACTCTGTGCATGTGGTGTGTGTGTATGTGATTCACTTGCGATGTTGACAATAAACAAGCCAAAATATCTGTGGAATGCGTGGGGGCAAGGCCGAGGGGATGGCTTCTTAATTATTTTAGCAAGGGACTAACTACCCTGCAGAACAAAGCCGTAAGAGGTCTGGTATGTAGAAGCCTCAATAAATTATCACAGAAGCCCCCAAACTGTGTCAGGTTGGGTATTATTCTTGAGGTCAATGATCTAAGCACACATAAGCTGCATCAATGCAGTCTGTTGCTGCTCCATCACAGGATCATTCCAGCTCGGTGTTATTCATAAGAGGTGGCTCTTGAGGGTTTCGGACAAGAGCCTCTCTCAGCCCTACCTGAAAATGCCAGGGACTGAACCTGGAATCATTTGCAAGCATTACTGTAATAGACTTCAGTATAGTGTGACATTCCAACCTGTATGTGCATTCTCTGGTGAAGTGCTAGGCCAGGGTGCATCTTCAAACTGGACCCATGTGCTGAATGATGAAGACAGATCAGGCTTTGGAGACGGGTGGTTTTCAAGCAAACACACGGACACAGAGTCTGCAGCAGTTTTGTCCATTCCATCTCCCAGCTCAGCATGTGCAAGTGCCTGAAATTCTCCATCCAGGTTTTGGATGCCTTCAGAAGAAGTATCAGAGGAGGACAGAAACCTTTCAAGAGGTTCTCCAGCTTGGCCTGCAAGAAGAATCACAAGATAATGTAGAAGTAACAAGGAATTTTTAAACATCCTTTTTCATCATTTGTAAATGTTCAATGTGTATAGGGCAATGTTACAGCTTTATGCTTCTGAGTGAAACTACCTGTTATAAGAAACACGGCAGCCCATGTTGAGTCATTCTCCTTTCCACCATTAAAGAGACTTTGTAATGCCTAGTACATGCTATACTGTGTTGCAGTGTCATTATACTGAGCAAGTATCCATCCCTGCCTGAAACGATGTGAAGGTGGGGTGGGCAAACACACAGCTTAAATGCAGTTTCGACTACTCATCTTGGGAGTGAGGGACTTGTAGACCAGCAATATCTGGAGGCTGCAGATTCCTCAACCCTGAACTAGATGTTACAGAGGAGCAGGAGAAGCTCAGCACAGGGCTGCTTCCCCTCCCCAGAACAAGTTTCTTATAACACATTGAGGTGGTATATAGAAACGGAACATAGCTACCCACATGTAATCGAATCCATTAGCTACTTTCATCTAGCCTGTCTTTCCAAGGAGCTTAGGATGACCCCATTTTAACTCCATAACTACGCTTTAAGGTAGGATAGGCTGATATGAGTGTTTGACTCAAGTTCTCCCTGTGAGAAGGAATTCAACCTAGTTCTGAGTCCGAAACACTCTATCCCAGAATTGGGAGACCTGTGGCCTTCCAGATGTTGCTGGACTACAGCTCCCATCATCCTTGACTATCAGCCGAACTGGCTGGGGCTGATGGGAGCTGGAGTCCAGCAAGGTCTATAGGACCACAGGCTCTTCATCCCTGCTCTATCCATTACTTCACACTGGATTTGCACTATACAGACTCATGCTAGTAAAAGTCACAGCTACTGCTGAAGCAGGGCTGGCCTGCCCATGAGGTAGACTGAAGCTGCTGCCTTGGGTTGCAGAATCCCATGGGGGGGGGGAGGGTACTCTTGCTGGTGGGGCTGTGCAACGGTGACTTCCAGCCAGATCTTGCAAAATCTCATGGAACTCTGGCAAGATCTCACAGAGCTTTTGTGAGCTCTCACAATATCTCACCGGAAGCAGCTGCGAGACCCCAGTAAGCGAGGCTTTGGCAGGGTGGTGGGACAGCTTCCCATTTTACCTCAGGCAGTGAAATGGGACGGTCCACCCCTGAGCACAAACAATTCCTATTCATGCAAGGAGCACCTCCATTTTAGTAGGCCTGTGTGTGACATGCAACTGGGAAAACACAAAACCCCATGGGAGGACGACCCATCGGTTTGTGCCTATCCTTAATGAATGGAGAAGAGGCTGCACTTGTTAAAAGGGGGGGGGGAAACACTTGTGTTTAAGTACAACCCACAGAGGGCTTTGGATTGGAGTAAAAGAGTTGCCTTGTTTCCTTTGACTAACTTATTTATATCAAGATACAGCAACAGCCTATTTCATCAGAGGGAAGGAATTTGCCTACCCTGGGAGGCAACCGGTAGCAGCAGCCCATCGTTGAAGGAGACCCACTCTGATTGCTGGGAAGCAATTACGTTGGCTAGTGATGTCATGCTCGCTGCAAGTCGCTACTCATCTTCACATCACTGGCAGACAGTAGACAGCAGACAGCCCTCTTTGTTGCAAAGTTGTCATTTTTTAAAAAATCATTTCATTCCTGACACAGCAGCTGCAAGGAGGGGGGAAAAAAGATTAGAAAGCCACAATTTGATTGTACAAGGGTATAAATGGCTACTAGTAAAGATTAGTGTCTCTGAATACCATTTGCTGTGGAAAACATACAGGAAAGTGCTACTGAACTACAGCAGAAGAGAGAAAATTTCAGGCTTGTGAGCTCCTGACAAATGGGTAGAAGGGGTAGGATTTGGGGGTTGAGTATGCCCTTAGCTTTCATTTTTAAAAAAGAAAGCGGACATTTCTAAGGGAGAGGGAAGGATATTGGGGTATGCTTGCTTAAGCACTTTTCTATTATTTCATTCATTCCCCGAGTCTGCAGCCTTTGCAGAATAAAACACAACTGGCTGGTTTGGGCATGTTTTATTCCAAAGTAACTCCCTTGAAATAAAGACGTTATGCCAATCTTATTGGAGATTCAGTAAGTTCTTGTGAAATTCCTAGAGATGTTTTGGCTGGGCAGGGATAAAAACCAACTATTACTAGTCTTGCTTCAAATGGCAAAATGGATTGGGCTGGCCCTGTGCGATTCTGAAGGAGGTCTAGTGTTGCTTGCATATGGAATTTGTGTAAGTAAGTGTAAGTGTAAATCAGGTAACCTATTTTTTCTGGAATTTAGCTCTTTTGACAAGGTAACATTTAAAGTGAGGGAGATTAAGGCTTCTAAATAAATTCAAAAGCTTTCCCAAATATAGTACTCTCCGAATGTTTTTGGGGCTGCAAGTCCCATCAGTCTTGACCTCTGGCAATGCTGCCTGAGGATGATGGGAGTTGGAGTCTATAGAATCTGGAGGGCACCAAGCTGGGGAATATTGTCCTAGACTAAAGAGATTTAAGTGGAGATTAAAATAGTTGGATTATGCCACAATCTTTTCTCTCTATTTGCTCCGAGTACCAAAGTGTTCAAAAGGGAATGTTTACCTCTCTTTATTTGGCTGAAGTTGAGAGTTTCCACTTGGAAAAATCTAGATCTTGAAATTCCAGTTCCAATAACTACATGGACTTAAATAAAGCTGGTCTTCAAAGAAGACCCTTATGGAACAACAAATCATCTTCAAGTAGCATCCTGATCTTATGGAAAGTAAAAGATAAAGGCAAAGGGACCCCTGACCATTAGGTCCAGTCGTGGCCAACTCTGGGGTTGTGGCGCTCATCTCGCTTTATTGGCTGAGGGAGCCGGTGTACAGCTTCCAGGTCATGTGGCCAGCATGACTAAGCCACTTCTGGCGAACCAGAGCAGCGCACGGAAACACCGTTTACCTTCCCGCCGGAGCGGTACCTATTTATCTACTTGCACTTTGACGTGCTTTCGAACTGCTAGGTTAGCAGGAGCAGGGACCGAGCAACGGGAGCTCACCCCGTCACAGGGATTCGAACCGCCAACCTTCTGATCGGCAAGTCCTAGACTCTGTGGTTTAATCCACAGCACCACCTGCATCCCAGTCCCACCCGCGTCCCACAATACCAAATATGGGATCTAGTTTTCTTGCTACAAGAGCAATCCCAGCTCCTTCCTAACAACCTGCATGACCAGATTCCAATACCAAATGCATGTTTTTTTACAGCACAGTTTAAGCACAGTTTGTAACCAGAGGTTTCCACTGATAAACTGAATTTGAAACCACAGCCCTGTTTGTATGCTGCCCAGCTATCCAGTGCTAAAGAGTTTAAAAGTGCAGAGTAGAAAGAACTGGAAGAGTTTTGCAAAACCAACTAGCAAATGGGGTCAGCATTAAACCAATGAATTGCTGCATGTTCCTTGGAGAGGTAGGTAATTGTTCTCTGAACTACATAAAATAAATACCATAACTCTGCAGTAACACTTCTTAAAATAATCTAGTAACTAACATGTCACAGGGAAAGGGGCAGTGTTAGGTTTCCTAGGGAACCCAAGCCCCGTTTTTCAGGAGGCTCAGATCTCCTGGCCCCTACTTTTAATAATCTTTCTATTTCTACCGAGAACTTTTTGTGTGTGTACTCAATACTTTAAGGCAGTGTAACGTTCTGATGGGAAAAGAGAGTGAAGAGTGATTTACTGAAAACTTCACAACTGCGAAGAAAACTTGCCAGCTTGTTTCCCTGCCAGGGACAAGGAAGCTGGATAAGGATGGATAATGTGGGGTGGGAGGCAGTGGACTCTAGCCAGGTGGACTTAATTTGAGTCAAGAGTTAATCAGAGCTCAGCCCCAGAAGCAGTTTTTGAAGCCATGGCTCACACTTGCTGTTTAAACAGGCATGCTAGTTACAGAAAACTCTTTTCAAGACATTTAAGGTCGCAGGCAGCGTGTGCTCTTTTTGGGTTTGCCCCTGAGAGAGGGAGGGATAGACTGACCTCAATATTTTGCTGTTTTTCCCACCTGACCAATTGAACCACTCTTTTGGCTTGCTGAAACATCTGTAATGTGAGTCATTTTTTAACAGAGCATTGCCCTCTCCCAAAGCAGCCTAGCTGAGAAAGTCCTGAACGAAATCTGAAGAGAGCAGGACGCGAACAGGCAAAAGGCTTTATCAAGAGTTTCACACGCTCAGGGAGCTGAGGAGAATGCTCTCTTTTCTTTCAATGTCCAAGAAAAACCTGTGAAAGGAGAGAGGATGAAGCAGGCCCGTTGCGGAGGCAGATTTGTTTCTCCTCACTGTGACCATGTTTACCTGTCACCACTCCCTTTCCACTTCCATAAAAAAGAAACATGCCAAATATATCCCCTCCCACAACCAAATGAAAATTCATCAAGACCGAGAGTTTAAACATGGAAAACAAAACTCTTGGTCTTTTAACGGCTGAATTCTGACAGTATTCCTCCTTGCTTTTGGGCTGAAGTGAGCAACAGGTGTGACTGAGTGCCACTATTCATCTTCATGTTAGGCCATGCCTGAAAGAAGGGTTGGGTATTTCATCTGCAAAATGAAAACAGCTCTTTGTGCCCAAAATAGTCTTAATGGAGGAGTATCCAACCACAGAAGCGACTCATAATATATGAGCAAGACCCTAATGACCCTATGAGTCACTGAACGCCCATACAGTAGCTCTGAGGGTTTGGATGGCAGAGTCCCAGCACAGCACAGGGGCATAACTTTTCCTCTTTTTTCAAACCCTGAGATCTAACTCAAGAGACTAGCAGGCAAGCCACTGCAATGCTATCAAGGCCGGTGTCAGAAGTCAGCATGGTTCATGCATCCTGCTGATGGCCCACACCCCAGCAGGAGAGGGGTTTTGTACAAGGGGTGTCCTAAACCATCACTCCTTCACAGACAGACCCAAGTCATTTAGGTGCCCAAGGCAAACAGTTCAAATTGTGCTCTCTCCCACAACAATCTGCAAGCTGCTCTTGTCGTCAGGCAGCTGTCAAAGTCCCAGCATCTCAGTAACGTCAACCACTGATACTTAACCTGGGTTTGGAAGCTGCCATTTATTTTCCCGATATGCTGCACAGTGATGCTACATCAGGGGCATTGTGGGAAATAAGAAGTGCCCTTACCCCTACCCCTAAGGGGCCAATACTTGTGGGCTCTTTGCCCCCTCAAACCTGGAGCTGTCTCTGCCCTCAATAGTGGTAAAAGTAATATTATTTTACCACTCTGGAGTAATCATTTGCTGGAGGCCCTACATGCAGCAAATTTTAGATAAACTGCAAGGTCAGCAGGCTTTCAATTCAGTTTATCGCCATTTCACATGCGCTTGAGATGTCGGTCATTGTGTGATGCACATTTTCAGATTCTTTGCTAAAATGGCCCTTCATTTCAACTCCGAAGAGTAACACAGGAACATAGGAAGTTGCACTATATTGAGTTAGAACATTGCTCCACCTAGCTCAGTGTTGCCTACACTGACTCGCAGCCGCTCTCCAGGGTTCAGACGGGATTCCCTCCCCCGCAGCCCTACCTGGAATTCAGAGGGGCAATGAAAAAAATGCACAATGGTGGCAGGAAGAGGTAAAGAAATAAGAGCACATTTCTGTACCCACTTCACTGTACTGTCTTAGTCTCAAGTCCTCCTTCAAGCAAAGCCCTGTCCCCAAGTCTGTAAAATTCCAAAACAACAAATATTTTATAACGTGGAAAAGACAGCAACCCATCGGACAAAGCAAGTGAAGTAGCAATGTGAAATTTTGGGTGCAAGTATCAGGAGAGATTTGGGATGAGGAGCCAGCACACAGCTGACACCCAGTCCTACCTCTTGCTTTCATCAGATCCTAGGAAGACTAGAAATCCTAAACCAATGTTTGATATCAATAAAGGACTAGATGTGCACTTAAATGAAATTTAATCCATTTAAGATGCAAATGCTGTTGGTTCAGCGAATCATCTGATCCGGGGTTAGGTGTCGCAGGTTGTCTCACAGGTTGTTAGCGCTTGTTGATCTGGCACACCTACACGGTTGAGTATCAGTGCCTTTAACCAGCTTTGGCTATTGCACCCTTTCCTGGGAAAAGGGATTTGGCCACAGCCATCGTGCTCTACAAAACTGGAAAAGTATAACAAATGGTCCACAATATCATTGCCAAACTCTTGATCTCCGCTGTCTATTTCGTTGTTTCTTCAGCTTGTAAGCCGCCATGTTTTACAGCAATATAGACAGAAGGTATACAAATTAAAAATGAAATGAAAGGAAAGGGTCTGAGACTGGGTGATCAGAGTGTAATTTCACCCTATTTTGTCTTGCTCATTTCTGGGCTCTTAAAGGTGCTACTACTTTCCTGCAAAGCCTCAAATGGCTTGGGACTGCGCATGCCCATATCTGAAATGCTGCACTGATCTGAGGTTTAGTGGGTGTGCATGAAAAACACGAGTACCTGCAGGTGTGGTGGCCCTGTCAGCATATGACTTATGGCATCTGGTGCCTCTTTGAAGAGCAGGAAGCTGAAACAATCTTTTTTGGCCACAAAAACTTATGCCACCCTATACTTATGGGTCTTCAAGGTGCCATAAGAGTCTCAGCTATTTCCATTGCATTAGTTGACCGCCAATATAAAGTAACGAGTTACAGCACTAACTGAT